GTGAACGAAAGCAGCGTCGAGATTGCAACACAGGATCTTATCCGTGGCAAAGGCAAGGGCATCGTGATTCTGCTCTTTGGTGTGCCGGGAGTCGGTAAAACTGCTACTGCTGAAGCGGTCGCCCAGAAGTTCGAGAAGCCTCTGTTCCCCATCACATGCGGAGATTTGGGATTTACTCCTGAGAGTGTGGAGAGCTCTTTGAGCGAGATATTTCGCTTGGCTCACCTGTGGGACTGTGTCCTTTTGCTGGATGAGGCGGATGTCTTTATTACACAGAGAGACAGAAAAGACTTGGAAAGGAATGCCCTTGTTTCCGGTAAGAACTGCGCGGTATGCAATTAACATCCTTCAATACTAACAGTTTACGCTACTCTATTCTAGTCTTTTTACGCATGCTCGAATACTACAATGGTATTCTGTTCCTCACTACCAATCGACCCGGTGTGCTTGATGAAGCAGTCAAATCACGAGTGCACCTCAATCTTCACTACAATTTCCTCACTGAGGAGCAAGTCGTTGCCATATTTAAGTTGAACATTTTGCGACTCAAAGAGATCGAAGACCAAGCCGCCAAGGCACCGAGGCACAATAAATTATATATCGATGAGGCAGATATCATTGCTTTCGCCAGCGAACACTGGAGAAATCACACGGATGGCATTGGGCGGTGGAATGGACGACAGATTCGTAACGCATTTCTCATTGCTGCTTCGTTGGCTCATTACGAGGGAGACATGGGTGAGCGACCAGAGGGACTACAGAAGCAACTAACTTCGAAGCACTTCAAGAAGGTTGAAGAAACTACTAGACGCTACGATGAGTATCGCGTGGCATGTCTTGGAGACACTGATAGTTATCTTGCACACGACCGATATGAGAGAGACGACGACTGGAATCCTCTTGCAAGAGGAGGAGCAGCCAATGCCTATATGGCTCATGGTCAGCCTCAGGTCCCAGGATATCTACCCAGAGCGGGAAGTTTTCCGTGGCAACGGCCGGTACAGGCTCCAGTTAACATGAACCCAAATTCAACGCAAAGGCAAGGAGCAGAAGGATGGTCGAATAACGCGGCCGCACGCCCGCCTGTCCCTGGATATCAGCCGCCTGCGCAGCAGCAAGCCCATGGACACCCTCCGCCGCACCAGTTCTCACAACACCCGGCGCACTTGGCGGGCAATACCCCTAGCAGCTCTGGTAGCCCAAACTATACTACTCAAGCACCGTACGGTTCATCCGTGGGAGGCCCCAGTGGACCACAAGGCTATGACATTGGAGGAAATCCACAAATGAAAGCCGGAGGAGAGCAAGGAGTGAGCGATGAGTGGAACGGGGGAGCTCCGCAACGTCGGCAGCAGAACCAGAATGGATTCAGCCACTATTGAGGGGATTAATCATGTCCTACGAGTATGGTTGGTTCCGTTTCGTGAATTACTGTGTGACTTGCTAAGGAGGCAATAGCCATGTTGACTCGAAGAATTTTACTACAGTGCAGTTAAATTGACACCTTGTGATACCCTACAAAGCACAACTTATTAGATGATGGAGTATATTTGTAAATAATAAGCGCCATATGGCTTATTCCATGTATTGGCAGAACTGTAAAAAAATTTACATATGACAAAATATGACAATGGTATCAGATCGTGAGAACAAACTCCAGCTCGCTTTCAGTATGATCCATAGTATCTTCTTCCAATCGAATCCTTATTGGGTACCCCGAAATTACACTTGCTTAGTATCTAGAACCAAGCACACACCGCTTACTTCTTCTGTGCCCAGCCAATCTGAGTCTTGCCGCTGTCAAAGATAACATGTGCAGCTTTGAGGGCAATATCGCCCAAGATGGTGAACGGCAAGCCACCAGAGGGCTGGATACCACCAAAACACTCGCCATTGCCGGCCGGGGCGTAGTTGACCAAACTACCGGGAACTGTGATCGCACCCTCTCCGACGGTGAATTTGAAGTCAGGGAGAGTGGTGTTACAGCCGAAAACATAGCCTCCTTGCACCGGATCCAGGCGGGCGCCCTGGACCTTCTGGTAGTAAGCTTTAGCGAGGTCGTCACCGGCCAGAATTAGAGTTGTGCCGGTGTCAGCAATAGCATCAAATTCTCCGCCAATATCGCTGCTGGTGCTGAATTGCCAAAAGCCCTTGCTGTTGTCGATGGGAGCATAGAGGATATTGCTTGCAGCAGAGGGGACAGCGCCGAAGATGTAGCTGCCAGGAGTCTCGTGGCGGAGATCGGCGACAAAGAGAGGAGAATCGAGGCTGCCGACAATGTTGTCGAACCAGGTCTTCTGAGGAGTAGGCGTGACAGTGTTAATGGAGCTGAAAGCGAGACCCACGAGACCATCATTGTGACCTGAGGCAAACTGAGCCGAGACTTGCTTAGCAGACTCAACCGCCTGTGTCTTCACAGTGAGGCTTCCAACGGTAACAACATCGGTATACACGTCTCCAGAGGATGATGATTGGTCTCCATAAGTAATATTCCAAGACGCGCCATCCAACTTCTTGGATGAAGAGCTCTTGGATGGGTCGTAGAGATCATGGCCCTGAGAAGAGCTGGAGTCCGTCTCGGAAGAGAAGACCCAGAGGTCGGAGCTACCGGTATCAAAATCCAAGTTGAGTTTCTGAGGAGGAGTGCCTATCTGAACAGGGACTAGATATTGGAGGTCATCACCGTCAGGTGTAGCGGTGACATTGCCGCTGCCGCCGCGCTTGACAAGCTGGGTGGACTTGACGAGCTCAATAGCCTCAGTCAACGTCTTGGAAACTGGAACGCCATACTTGGCGTAGGCGCGGGCCAAAGCTAGAGGACCATTGCGGCCTGTGAAGCCTTTGTTCTCAGTACTCTTGATCTCGAAAGAGCCAGAGGTGGAGATGGCGTTGGGAATAGCACTGCCTGCTGCCATAGAGGCAGACAGGAATGTGACAAGGAAACTGCCGAATGTGATGGGCTGCATTGTGAAGTATGTGGAAGAAGCGAATATCTTCTAGAAAAGAAACTGGGCTGAATAAATAAGAACTGATCAGAAAGGATTCTCGTGATGCTGTGGTGAATGACTTCTAATTACCTAGGCTCTAGGCGAGATTGTCCACCTTATTTATCTTCTGTCTTTAGGGGGATCGACGGCAATAACTTCCAACAAGAAACAACACGATAAAACATACACGAGATATCACGAAAGTCCTTTTGATATCGCGAATATTAGGGGGTTAGTATAAGAAGAGAAGGTCGGAGTGCTTCCGACGACATGAGGTTACTTTGATAGACATTCGAAACTACTTGTAGGATTTTACGATACTGCAGCGCCTCATTAAACAGCCTAATTTGGCAGCTGGGTGCAAAGAGATTCCTGAACTTTTGCGAGTCAGCTCGGAAGTCATCCTATAACTTGCTAGCAACAAGCGCAGTGGACAAAGACGTGGAGATCGTGGAGCCTGTGGATGCGACCAAGGCTGACCCGAATAGTGCCCTTAATACCGAGCCGACACTATTTGGTGTTTTACAGTTAAAGATCTAATGTCATGGGTTATGCTATCGGAGAATATAGGCCAATCTCAGTCTCAGATCGGCCTGGGAGCATTAAGCATGGTTTCATTTAACATAAGGTTGTCCGAGAGCGAGTCTTCTATTTACTGTCATTTGTGCCATCCGGAAATAGAGGTACCACTCAGGGTCCAGGAACTGGGTAACACATGCTCGAATCAGCACGTTGAACTTTATTTCACATGCTACGGTATCGGAGATCCTCATCTGACACGAGCGCTTTGTTCAAAAGGTCAAACAGCTTTGGTGAGGCCTTTTGGCGATCTGCAACAAAGAGCCCCAGGAAGAGGCGATCAGCCCGGCCGATCGCAGTGGACCATCCCCGCCAGAAATGACCAACGAAAGGCCTGAGTCTCTTCTTACATACTAAGCATGTTTCAACTATATCCGCTCTTTAGGAGCATTGTATTGGTGGAGGAGCTGAGATAACCTAATTGTTTGTTTCTCCATAGTATAATGGAGATGATGGAGCTGTCTGCCAATGCTTCCTGCCACTGATGAGGTGGCATGTCAGATGCAGGTCCAGTTTCCTAAAACACCGCCAAAGACGACTTTCCCATGGAGACAAGGATCAGCCAATTCCCCTGGCTAGAGCTAACATGTCAGTTCCTTTATCGGTGAACGATCACATGCGAGGTAAAGCAGCGAGGCAAAGACGAGAAAACTCCACGCAAGCTCGTGTACGGCTCGCGCCACTGCACAGCCAAGCATAGTAGTTCACTTAGCATAAAAGTATGAATGTTCCCTAACATAAGAGGCAAGAAAGGCTAGGCGGAAACACAGCCGAATCATTGGATGAACCTTTGCGCCATTTTCGCCTCGTACCACAATTGACCGGAGTGTGAAGCCCGAGCCAATGGTCAATTGAGGAGAAGGTTCGGATGGGTTTATTTACAACAACAAGAAACTTGTATTTCTCCAATTCGCTTGACCTTCCCCGCGATTTCTTGTCTTTAGTTCGTAAGAATCAAGCATTTAGAACCAAGCTTAAATCCCAGATGATGTTGGTGTGTACTGCAAAGTCGTACCTAGAATCGCCAAGTCGGAGAATTACGAGCCCAAGCGCAGCGGATCATGCGAAATGGTGTGTGACAGTAATTTGTATGAAAGCGCACTTGGCGGACAATCTATAGTCCGGAATGACTCAAGTTATTCAACAAACTCTGTCTTCAAATTGTGCCGACCGTTGCATGATTTAATTCGATATGTTTGAGACATGGTTGCGTAGTCAAATAGCACACTAGAATAATCTTTAGCACAGAGACTAAGGAAATCATTTTTAATGAGAGCATCAACAATTGCTTGCAATAATACATCTGGCAAGAAGAGTGATCGTTACACCAACTTTACGGGCGATACCAAAGCGTGGAGCGCTTGCGATATCAACGACTTGTCCGAAAGTCTTCTTGAGTCACTGGATAGATTTGATTTGATGTTTTTGCATTGAAAACTGGTTGTCTCACGGGCTTTAATCTTCAATCTTTATATAGGGTATGTGAGCATTGGTTGATAAAATATGTTTGTGCCGTTGGGACAGTTCTCCGCACGGGAGCTAACCTCGGTCCAAACACAGAGAGAATGTGTGAGAGAGACAGAGATAGGAATAGTATAAGAAGTCATAAATCTTTGCCCAATTCTGGTGCAATATTGCTATTTAACATTGACTGGATAACGCAGTTAATGCTCGCTCCACCGCTCATATTTGCCCAACAGCTTGGTAGGCTCATCCCACTGCTCCGCTCTTCCATTTCAACATCGTAGATACAACAATACACGAGAAATGATTAAAAAAAAACTAGAAAACTTTTCGCGAGATGGTCATATCTACTCAGCAAAATGTAGCTTGACATTAACTCCCTCGCCAGGGCAGTTGGTCAAAGTCAGGCCGTGCTTGATGGGGCCAACTTGGGAGCCATCAATGTTGTCGATGCGCTGCATCAATCGGATGACAACATAGCCAACCTCGGTAAGCGCAAATTGCTGGCCGATGCAGATTCTTGGTCCTCCATTGAAGGGAAGATAATCCCAGCCCGGCCTGCGTGTCTCCCATCTCTCTGGCTTGAAGACTTCGGCATCGGGACCCCAGATATCCTTGCGGCGGTGCATCAAGTGAACCTGAACGCTCATGTTAGCATGTTACCTTTGGATTTGAGTGCATTGAGATCGTTGCCTACCGAATAACCAACATCCTGGCCCTTTGGTACGAAAATCGGCGACTGTCCGTCTGGGCCGCCGCCAATAGGCAGCGTCGTGTCTACTTGTGCAGTGCGGACATTCATCGGCACTGCGGGATATAAACGCAGGCATTCGTTCAGACACCATTGGAGATATTGGCAACCTTTCATCTTCTCAAATGTGATTTCCTTAGGGTTGGAATATGTTCCGAATTCTTCCAAAATGATTGCTCGCAGTCGTCGGAATACGGGCTCATACGCGGGATCAGCCATGGTGTAGAAGAACCATCCCAGCGTAGATGCAGTGGTGTCTCGGCCGGCAAGCAATATGTTGAGAAGCTGAGATCGCAGCTCTTCGGGATCTCGGGTTTCTTTGGCCAGTGCATTGAGGAAGACGTATTTGTCCTCATTCACAGGCATTTTCTCGCCCTGAACGAGAGCCTTTTGAACAAAGTAGTCGACATAGGCGTGAACCCTTTTAACCATGCGTTTAAACTCGGGAGTATGAACAACCCAGTAGTTGGGACCCAATCGAGCCCCGATCGATAGATTATACTGTGCCTTGTCAAAAGCAAATGCGAAGTTGCCGTCTTTTTCAGATGTGGGGTGGACTTGATCGAGCTGGCTATTGACGCTTTCTCCAAAGAGGAACTCGGTTGCGGAATCCAGTGTGAGGCGGAAGAACAGAGGCAGAAGGTCTACAAGATCAGTCCAGCCATCCGGACCAACCTGACGATTGAGCACCGTCATCAAAGACTTGACGTGCTCTTCCTCTAGGTTAAGGTCGCTGACTTGGCCACGGATGAACTGCGGACGCAGCAATGCTCTAGAGTGCTCCCATTGCTTGCCGTTTGTCGCGAACTAGCACGCAAAAGAAGTTAGTAGCTATCGTCAAACAACGGCGTATAGATATCTGTATCGTAAACTTACAATGCCATGTCCCAGTAATGGCTCAAAGTTCTCAGTCCGGTTCACACCCAGGCCAAAGTCCTTGAATTTCAGCGCAAGAATGGTCTGGATGTTCTGAGGATCAATCGTCACCAAGGTGTCTCGGAAAAGCGGCGCCTTAACACGCAGCGTGCCCACTGTACGGCCATGCTTCTTGTCTTCGCGTCCAAAGTTCTCAGCAGCGTGGATGGGGAATCGCTTCTTGCGGCTCGCATCCACGCCCAAGACGATATCGGTAATGCCTGTCGGGTCATAACCCGACATCCACACGGGGGGCTTGCATCCCAGTTCCCTGGATCTGGCTCTGTATCGGAAGCTCTCGAGGATCAGGTTCAAGACGTAGACAAAAGCCAACGCCGCGGCCGCAATGCCCGCTGCTAGAGACAATTGCATGGCGACAGTGTCAGCGAAGGGACATGTGGATTGGAGGAATGCTGAATGAGTCAACAACGAATATTGCGAGAATAAAAATTTTGGAAGAAAAAAAAGCACTGACACCCTCGGCTATCAGAACTTCATTTCATTATGACAAACTGAGAGTGGTCATAGAGCGGCTATATACGGAGCCATCGGGGATCACTACATAACACTACATTTATAGCGGCAGCAGGAGAGGAGAGACGGACCAACTCAATTGCTGAAGACGGACCCCTCAAGCTCGTCCGGTCCCGTTTGGTGCTCCCACAAACAACTCGAAAAGCCGTGTCTCCGCACGCACTAAGCATGGTTTAGCAATACCCCAGACCCCAATGGTTCACCCGCGATTTACGACATGGCGCCATACCGAGACACCCTGGTCTATCTCTCAAGACGAGCAAAGGTGAGAGACATTTCCTATTGTGTCTCACTGTAACCTATTACAGGCGTCGACCGATGGAATGGCGATGTCTCAACGCACGGGCGTCGGATCTTATCGAGTGGCCGTCGCGAATCGTTTCTTTTCCGCTTTTGGCAACACGATCCTCATTGTTCCCCGGACTCGAACTAATGTCCGTCATGTGTGCTGCTAGTGCGATCTTCACATGTTGGGGCTAATCATTACCAGCAATAGACGCGGGGGACGGCACGAACCCGGGGGCTTGACGAAGCCTTTTAAGCCCGAAAAGCTGTGTTTTATATGCTGTGCTAGGTCATACCCCGTGTTAGCATCTGTCCACGCAATGCATGTCTCACTTTTATGAGCTGAAGCCGAGGTAGGTCTGTACGTCAGCTTGTGAATATGACGTGATAAGTCCGAAGGAGGAACTCAGCCGTCATTTGTACAACTGAGGCCAGAGTAGGAAGTTGAGCCTTAGTCGTCAAAGCTATAGGCCTACTATACTTAGATATCCATCATGATGTTTGAAAATGCTCGTAAACAAGCTTCTGAGTGGCTTGAGGATCTGGTGGGCGAAGTAGAGCAAGTGAGACGGGAGATTGTGGATCGGTATTGAGGGAAGTGCTTACTCGTAACATTCTCATGGCCTGTTTTCGCCCTGATTTCTTTGCCCCGCCTGTTGGCAGACAAATAATCTCCACCAAAGTCATGCTCCATACATACGTTTATCGGGTATATAAGCACGTCTGATCCACTGGCGGAAGTAGTATCACGCATATCTTAGCATGAAAATCTAGATCTGAGAGTCGGAGCAATTGTCCATCGCCGGGCATTTCTCAATAGCGCTTACTTCAGGACTTGATTGGTTCAGCCCTAAGGACAAGGCCTGATACATTGCGACTCTTGAGTTGGGCAAATGACAGATCATTTCAACATCTGGATGAATACAGCAAGTGAAGGAAGTCGGAGAGAGAGTATCCCTTTAAGAATTGAACCTGAATATTTGTTCTTTATTCTTTTCGCCAAGTGGATTATGACTTACCAAGCTCCGGCTGACTGAAGACGTTGCCCGAATGGGAATAAAGAACAGTTCAAATGGAATAAATTACTCCTTGAAGGTACCGTGAAATCATATTAGAACTAAACACAAGTTGGATTGTCTTGACAGTCCGAAAACTCATCGCTCGGTGTGGAGCTATACAGACGGCGCCAAAAAGGCCATTAGTTGTCATCTTAGCCCCGCCGTTTAACTTACTTCAATGTATCTTGCCGAGTATATCGCCAAGAATTAATCCGAGACGCAATCAAGGTATTTCTACCATCTGGAATGCTTTAATACGTACGATTGTTCTTAAACGTATCTCAGCGCGCATTGGGGTCTTCCACCTGTAAAACCAATTGTCCTAACTAAGCAGGATGGCAGTCGGCGAAAGCAACGAGCCGTCAGCCCTGGCTATCCGCCGAGTCACACACGATAAGATCCTCATCTTTGGAGACTCCCTTACAGAACTCAGCAGCGATATTCACTCACTCTCTTTTGCTCTCACACCCGCTCTGCAACATTATTATTTCCGAAAACTCTCCGTGGTCGCGCGTGGATATGGAGGTTACAGCTCAATTCATCTGAAACACGTACTGCTGCCCACCTTGCGGGCAGAGACTGCAGCTGGAGAGACAATCAAACTGTTGGTGGTTGAAATTGGCACAAATGATGCATCAGAGCGCGACATACAAACCGTGCCGGTAGAAACATATCGCGAGAATCTCGAATGGATTGTGGAACAGGCACGGAAATCCGGCGTCGAGAGAGTCCTGCTGGTGGGACCGGGTCCTGTGGATGAAGATATGCTGGAGCCTCCCATCTACAACAGAGTGATGCACAACCTGAAATATTCGGAGGCGGCGAAGGATGTTGCGGCACGCTGTGGCGTACCGTTCATTGACATGTGGCATACAATGATGGAGCGGGTAGGATGGAAGAAAGGGCAGCCAGTGCCGGGCCAATCAGGCACGGGCGGAACAGTGCTGAAAGAATTATTGACAGATGGCGTTCATCTCACTGGCGAAGGCTACAGGATATGGTATGATGAACTGCTGGCGGTGATTAAGAGGGATTTCCCAGAATTACGATCAGAAGCACTACCGACGGTACTACCACACATCTTTGATGTAGATAGGGAGAATTTACCGGACACGCTATGGCAGGAAGTTCAAGTGAAGGAATAATAGAACTCATGATGGCCTGTATAGAGTCTTTTCCCCCCCAAACTTGTGATTAAGTTGCTCATTTGTTATTTGCTTTAAAGGCAAGTCTTTACTGCCAACGAATCTGGACATTTACTAAAAAGAAGAGCAAAACAGTATGGAGCAAAATTGGTTTCAAAAAAAAAAAAAACGCTTTATTCATAAACTATCAATCTGACTGTCTATATATTAAGAAGAAAAAGGAATTGATATATCGTTATGCAATTGGAAAAAAGAGAAAAAGGAAACCATTTTATCTATTACTTCTTTTTTTTTGGCCGATCACATCAATGTGACTGCACGCCCCCACAGCGTTTCATCCATCTCCGTTGATCGAACTATTTTCGTTCATTATAGCATGCATCATCCTCTTACGCCTCACGTCCCTGGGCAGCGCAGACCTGGGCGGCAAACTTGCAGATGGTCAAAGTAGGTCCAAGCAGCTGCTGGAAGGGCACGTCCATCTTGTACTCCTTGAAGATCCAGTTTCGCAGCTCAGCACCAATCATGGAGTCGATACCATAAGAGGCAATGGAACCGTTCTCAGGGTCGACATCTTCAGGGTTGAGCATGAGCATGCGAGCCAACTTGTCAACAAAGTGCTCGTTGACAGCAGTGATAGCCTCAGCGAGGGTCTCGGCGGCCTTGATGGTAGCGACAATGCTCTGGCCACCGGCACCAGCACCGGCGTCATCGGCAGAGGAGTTGATGTCGTGGACCATGTGGCTGAAGCGGGCGTCCTCGAGCCAGAAGCTATCAACAGCAGCGGCATCGTTGACGGCCTTCTGCAGCAGAGCAGGGTCAAGACCGACAACAACGTGGTCAGGAACAGTCTCCAGAGTGTTGGAGATCATGGCAGCCTCGAAGGACTGGAGGAGGTGCTCCTCATCAACACCGTACATACCCTTGCGCTTAAGGGCATCCTCAAGCTCAACGTTCTCAGCAACGACACCAACACCGAGAACCATAGGCAGGACAACGGAGGTGGCAGGAGCCTTAGACTGGGTGTGGCGGAAGCGGGCAAGGGAGTCGAGGTAGGCGTTGGCAGCAGCATAGTTGCCCTGGCCGGGAGTACCCAGAATACCTGAGACGGAAGAGGTCATGACGAAGAAGTCAAGAGGAGTCTCGGCCAGAACGGAGTGAAGGTTCTGGGCGCCGACAACCTTGGGGTTAGTAGACTGCTTCCAGGCCTCGTAGGTCATGGAGTGGAAGAGAGCATCCTGTTGATTAAGGTTAGTCATGTTTATACTATCTTTGAGAACTTTCAGATTGTTAACTTACTCTCAGAACCATGGCAGCATGGACAACACCCTTGATAGGGTTCTCGGCAGGGATGCCGTTGACAGCACGGACAACATCGTCGCGAGAAGTGGCGTCACCGCGGACAACCTGGACGATGGCTCCGGCAGCCTCAAGGTCGGCGACCAGCTTGGCAGCGGAGGGTTGGTCCGCACCAGATCGGGAGAGGAAAGTGAAGCGGCGAGCTCCAGATTCCATCATCCACGAGGTCAAGCTACGACCGAGACCACCCAAGCATCCGACAAGCAGGTAAGTAGAGTCAGCGTTGAACTGAAGCTTGGTGCGGGTAGGCAGAGTCTGGATGGGCGTCACAGAGGCCTGGTACTCGACAACAGACTTGACTGAGCCAAAGGCATCGGAGTAAGCAGCAACAGCCTTGTCAAGGTCAGCCAGCTCGATGGCCTTGGTGGCGCCAGGAGCGGCAGAAGGCTGCTTAGCAATCTCAACGATGGCAGGCAGGAGTCTAGCCAGAAGCTGGGGCTTAGAGCCCAGAGCCTCGATGATGTCGAAGGGAAGATAGCTGGCGCTCTTCTGGACGGGGATACCGTCAAGGACGCTGCGGCTGAGGTTGTCCTTGCGACCGCTGTCAACGAAGCGACCGAAAGAAGCAATGGTACGCCAGGCCTCGTGAGCATCGTTAGAGTCAACGCTGCCAGCGCTGAAGACAACATCGGCACCGTGGCCGTTGGTGAGCTTCTCAAGCTGCTCAGAGACCAGGCCGTTGGAAGGACGGAGGATGTTCTCGGTCTTGAGGCCGAACTGCTTCTCCAAGAAGGCAGCCTCGTCATCAGTCTTGGCCACAGCGTAGACGGTGGCGCCCTTGAGCTGGGCAACCTTGATGGCGGCAGCACCGGCGAAACCAGAGTTGCCGAGGACGAGAACGTTCTCGTCGTGTTGAACGGAGGCAAGAGTCTGGAGTCCATGCAGAGCAGCGGCATAAGCAGTCAGGCTGCTGACAATGCCAGTGAGATCATCACCGCTGGCAACCTTGTGAAGCAGCGTAGCCGGGACTTGCTGGTAGCTGTCAAAGCGGCCAATGCTGAATCCAACAACCTTGTCACCAACCTGGAAGCCAGAGGCGCCAGATCCAACTCGCTTGACAACACCGCCAATCTCGTGGCTGAAGGTGGTGGCATAGTCAACACCGTTGATGACGAGAACGCCCTCCTTGGTGAGACCGCT